GAGGCCCTGAGCTGGCTAAGATAGTATAGGGGCCTTAATAATTAGAATAGGGTTTTGGGTTTAGGGTTTAGGGTTTAGGGTTTAGGGTTTAGGGTTTAGGGTTTAGGGTTTAGGGTTTAGGGTTTAGGGTTGGGTAGTATGCTATACCCGATTAATAACAAGGAAACCCCACGATGGTATAGGTAATTATTAAGCCCTATATTAGCTGGGAAGGCGCTCTCCTAATATGTAACACCCAATTTGCCGACATCCTTTCGCTTTCATATGTTATGCTTAGCCGTAAACTCACTGAGTGCGTCAGTGAAACTGCCCCCCAAAATCTAGAACCCTAAACCCTAAACTGCCCAAGATCTCGAACCCTAAACCCTAATCCCTGGACTGCCCAAAATCTCGATCCCTAAACCCTAAACTGCCCAAAATTTCGAACCCTAAACCCTAAACCCTGACAGAACTGCCCAAAATCTAGAACCCTAAACTTGTCCCAAGGCCCAGAGCTCCAAACGCCAAAGCATGAAAGTTCTGAAGAAACCCTAGGCTCTTTGGGTTTAGGGTTTAGGGTCACCGCAACCTCATGAAATTCGGCGCACGTGATTTGCCATAAAAAGGTGTCCGCAGTAAATCGTACGCTTCCCCTGTTTATGGCAACTTACGATAAGTTCCGTATCTGCAGCCATGATGGAAGTCCTTGAAGTACCTGCTCAAAAGCCGACACGGACCCCCTTAAAATCCTCACAAACACCTACAAAGCCCTTGCATGCCTCCACCGCAAGCTGCATGCAGCTAGCCAGGAGGCGGCTCGCGGCCTGGTGGCTTGTTGGGTCGCTTTAAACTCCGGTAGGTGTACGAAAATGCCTAGACTGCTTCTAAACAGCTAAATACGGTTATCCCGGCACACTACAGAGGCTCTCGGTCACTGACAACTCAGAACCCTGCCTAGAAAAAAACACGTATGTGCTTATAACCAAATAAACAAATATAGATATGTGTGTGTGTGTATATATATATACCTTTATACAGACATCTTCATCCTTCTCTGCATTTCTCTCATTCTATATCCTTTGGGATTTCCTTCTGTCGCCCGCACACATAGAAGCATCGCAGACCCTGGTGATATGACATATGGTTCTGGCATACCAACAACACACAACCCTAAACCCTAAACCCTAAACCCTAAACCCCTAAAACCTAAACCCTAAACGCCGACAACGGCAGTGAGAGAAAGGGAGAGGGGACCTTAAAACGCGGCGAACGACGAGCCGGGCCCTGCACGGTGAACTCCTTCCCACTATGGGGCCGTAATAATTGGAACCGGGTTTTGGGATGTTTTGGGGTATGTCATGGTATAAGTATACTAAGGACCGTAAGCCGTAAACCGACAAGGCAACTCAACGGAATGATGCTTGACCTTATTCCGGCGCCTATAGTGAAACCGAGCTTCAACCCTCGATGCTACATCCGGAAGCCTTCGATTATCTACCGGCTTAGGGTTTAGGGTTTTTCAGGGCAGCCCCGAAGGAACATCATAACTTGTCTATCATGGCAGAAGTGTCAATTTAGGGTTTAGGGTTTAGGGTTTAGGGTTAATTAAGGTATGTAAACACAGCCCAACCCGGAACCCGACATTCCTAGCCCCGGCCGCGAAGTAGACCTACAAAGAAGCGCACCTAAACCCAAAATCCCAACCAACATCCCAAATCCTAAAACCCCCCGCGCGCCACACAGACTGAATTCGACAAAACCCTGAGCCCCCAAAAAGCCGTCCACCTCTTGAAGATGAAACTCCCAGCCCTCCGTGTCGAAGAGGAGCACCTGCACAGGGGCTCAGGGCTGTAGGGCTTTCATACTGTTGATGGACAAAATTCTGCATGACCCAAATTTAGTATAGTACCATAATTCCCATAGTTTAGGTATATAAGGTCATGCAGGATTTTGTCCATGAACCGTAAAGGGGGGCCTGGATACTTCGAACTGGGGTTTATTACGGTTTCGGGTTTAGGGTTTCGGGTTCATTAAGAAACCTTAACCCCGTTAAGGGCATAGCATTCATGGTCATCATGAGTTCTTCGCCTCAGGCAGCCAGCACCTGCTGTGGGGAGGGTTACGCCTTGTAGTTCAGGCAAAAAAATCCAATATGAACCCACTCCTAACATCCCTACGATGTGAAAAGAAGCTATATTTTACTGTGATTATAATAAGGAACCCCCGAAACCCTAAACATCCCTGCCATGTAAAAAGTAACCACACTAATCTCTTGCAAGACTCCATCCGGAAACTAACAAATTCTGGTAGCCTCCTCTTGCACTCCAGCCGTGGTCCAGGCGCCACAGCGCCTCCATGCGGTGGGGTCTTTGTTTAGGGTTTAGGGTTTAGGGGGTGGCAGGCTGAGGGGGCTTTGGCTTTGGCCGTGTTGGGGTTCGGAGTCGCTCTTCTAAGGGCCTTACGAGGGTGCTGTAAGGGTTTAGGCCTAAGGGGTGTCGAGTTTCAGGGCCGGGGACTTTCAGTGCTTGGGTGTGAGTCTTAAGGCCGTTTATAACGGTTTCACCCTAAACCCTAAACTCTAAGCCCTAAACCCTAATCAAGCCTAGACTTTCTGGAGTTCAAAATTCCGCGCGGGGAGGGAGAAATGACCAGGAAAGGCGAAAAATACCGTAGGTTCCTGGGGCATACCCTAAACTCCAGAGAGTTGGAACATGGGTTTAGGATGATATGTGCTAGGATCCGTTTACTTTACTTAAGGGCATGAGGACTATACTGTTCCAACTTTACGGCTTCTAGTTTGTATTCCTTTCAGCAAGCGGATCTCGGGTTCCTCCGTGAAGTGAAATCCGCACTGGAAGACTCAGTTTCAGACACCCGGAGTCCTACATCCCTCAACACTCTAAACCCTGAACCCCCAAACCGAATCACTAAACCCGAAACTGCAAGTTGGATTTGCAAGATCCCCGGCTCTAACCAAAGGCCTGCAAGGTGGATAAAGGTAGGTGGGGCAACCCGCCCCTGAAAATATCCTCTGACACCCACCTGCGTACCTTCATGCCACCTTGTGTTTTGGGGGCTTCCGAAAAAAGGGGACCCTGATATAGTACCCCAAATAGTAGGATCCTTATTATAAGGACCCAAAATAAGGCACCCCTTATTTCGGAAACTCCCATTTGGGGCTCCAATGATGTCTGAGTGGGTCGCACCTTTTGTAGACTTGCACTCCGCGCGTGCAGGGCTTCAGAAAATCTTCCTTCCCGGGGTTGTTGGGGATTGGAGGAGGCCTGGAGCCTAGTCTTGACGGGTTTCGGGGTTAGGATTTACAACTTGGGTTTGGGTTTGGGGCTTGGGGTTAGCGTTTAGGCCTACGAAACCCCAGAGACTGTTCCTAAGCCCATAAAGATCGAGTTCTTGCAGGGAGGGGGTTTGTCCAGCGGTTTCAAGGATACTCACCTGGCGAACATGGGGCCTTTGTAACACGGGTTACAAGCGCATATGTGCTTGATTACCCTAAACCCTAGCTATGTTACTACTTCCGCCGATCCTACTTGGATCCTCACTGCTCAACCCGAAACATCAAGCCCTGAACCCTCCTACCTCCTGAACCCCTATAGACCCTAGACCCTACACGAAACCCTAAACCCTCTACCCAAGACTTTAGCGCGTCACACTTAAGAACATCGACGTCTATTTGTGTGCCACCTGGATAAGCAGCAAGCCCAGTCGTGAAACGATGGAATCTTCAGGAGAGACCGACACCCCGGAACCTAAACTCCAAAATCGCAGAAGGAAGAGTCAGCGATGGTTCCTCCATGCTACCTAGACGGTTGTCCCTAAACCCCCAAGAACTTTCCTAATAACTTTCACAAGGGTTTCATGCCTGCGAACCGCATTGATGCGGCAAACGGCTTTTCAAAGCAACCAACCCATTGAACCATGATAATCCCAGTGGCGACCATAAATCCTAGACCCGAAACCCTAAACCCTCCGTGAATGCTCTTAAACCCTACTGGCCTAATGAAACTAGACACCTTCATTGCACCCTAAACCCTAAGCCCTAGCGCTCTAAGCCCTTCTGCCCGAGGTTTTCAGAGCATGAATGCTCTTAAACCCTGCTAGCCGAATGATACTATTAAACACCTTCATTACACCCTAAACCCCAGTGCCCTAAGCCCTCCTGCCCGAAGTTTCAATAAACCCTAAACCCTAAACCCTAAACCAAACCGCACGGAGAACCTCAATTCGGTCCTTTGCCGGCCGTGACTGATCACCAAGCTCGTGCAGCACGTCGTTGACCAGGGTAGACTTTCCCTCGGTTGTGCTTTAAGGGATTTGGGGGTGTAGCGTGAATAGGGGACCCTAATATAGCACCCTAAATAGTAGGATCCTTATTATAAGGATGAGGACCCCAAAATAAGGTACCCCTTATTTTCGGAAACTCCCATTTGGGGGTGTAGGGTTTAAGGTTTTGGGCCTGGGGTTTAGGGTTCAGGCACGTGGAGTCTTTAGGTGTCTCAGCTGGTATCAGGTGTTGTGAGTTACGGTTTGGGACTTGGTGGGCTTAGGCTTATAGGGTTTAGGGCTTAGGGTTTAGGGGGCCCTGGGCTGGCAAGGGTTCTAGCCGCACACAGCTTGCGGCTTGGGTGTAGAGTCAGAGTGTGGGAATGTGTGGGATGCGTAGCGGTGTTCATCGGCATGCATAAGCACCACCATAACCCACATGTCTGTAGGGTTCTTACTATAAAGCCTGTAATATGGAATGTATAGGGACCATACAAAACAATAGGGTTTCGTAGTTCAAGGTAGAGGATACTACTAAGGGTTTGAAGCTTTGGGTCCGGGGTAAGGTCCAGGATTAGGCCTCAAACAACCTTGCGTTCCCTCACGCTTAGGGTGTAGCGTTTAGGGCTGAGATTACTGCTCACGAAAGGCGGGCTCAGATTGAAGAGTCTGATTTCTTATGACAGTGACACAACGTTTCGGACATACCACCATCGAAACCAGTCCGGCGCGAAAAGACCCGCCCCCCTCTATCCGCTAATATGCCTAAACCCCTTATAAACCCTACCACCCCCGAAACCCAAGGCCCTAAGGAGAAACCGTGTAAAACCTACAAACCCAACATACTAATCTCTGAAGGGCTGAACGCCTCCAGCCGTGGTGGCCCCAACACCTTGAACCCCAAAACCTTAGGACCCCGTAAACCTTAGACTCCTAGAGAGCCCAAGTCCCAAAAACCTTAGACTCCTAGAGAGCCCAAGTCCCAAAAAACCAAGCCCTACCCTAAGGGTCCAATAACCTAATCATCATATACTACATAGGAACCTACATAACTACTATGCGACACCTAAGTACCTAATTATTGGGTCCTTTGGACCCTTTGCCGAATCACTATTGCTGTTTCTAGTATAAATATGAAAAGGAACCCCCAAAATAAGATTGGCAATCATTTGATTTGAATAGTTCTCTAAATTAGGGTCCCTTTTGGGTCCCCAAAATAATACGGCTCCATTATAAAAAGGACCCTAAAAAGGGACCCTAATGTAGAGAACTACCCTACCAGTGAATGAGGTCCCCTAAACCCTAAACCCTAAACCCTCTAAACCCTAAACCCTAAACCCTAAACCCTAAATCACGATTGCTGAAAACGCCCCTGGCCGCGCCTGACGGGCCAGGCCGAAGAAGAAAACAGGGCACTTCTTGATAAAGTCCTTCGGGTTTAGGGTTTAGGGTTTAGCGTTTAGGATTTGGGGTTTAGAGTTTAGGATTTGGGGTTTAGGGTTTGGGGTTTAGGGTTGAGGGATTCAGGGTTTAGGGCCCACAGCAGTGGAGGACTTGCGTCTAACACACCAGGCCGCTGCTTGGTTCATGTAAAACCTGAAGGCTCCATCCGTGCTACCATTATGCAACGTAGGCCCCAAAAGACCATCGCTATCATGATCTTGCAGACCTCATTCACTAGTAGGTTAGTTCTCTAAACTAGGGTCCCTTTCAGGATCCTTTTTATAAGGGTGCCGTACTACATTGGGGACCTAAAAGGGACCCTAAGTACTACCCAGTAGTATCTGTGGAGCCTCCTGGGTTGTCGGGCCTGCGCCCTGAATAGTTGAATGGGGCTTTCGGGGGGGGTGGGGGGTATAAGTCTAATGCTATACTTATAAAAAGGAACCCCCAAGCCCTAAACCTTAAGCCATTAAGGACTCATACTATTGGCCATTAATTCTTTATGCAAAACGGCTCTGCAGCTTGTAATCTTCGCCTGGAAGGCCTGTAGCTTCCATGAAGCCCTAAACGGATCTGGCCCTCATCTAAACCTAAAGCCTCCAAACCCAAACCCAAGCCAAAGCCCAAAACCCCAAACCCCAAACCCTAAACTCTGAACCCGCAACTCTGAACCAATCCACCATGCATTTTTTGGGGGTGGGCCTTTTGTTTAGGGTTGAGGAACCCGGAAGCCCGAATTGGCGGGAAAAGATCGAAACCTTCGAGATCGACACGCACTTTGAAGCCAACCGGAACCATCAAGCCAAGCCTTCGACTGCACCGGTAGGGCTAAGGACTTAGAGTTTAGGCTTTGGGGCTTAGGGTTTTGGGTGAAAACCGAGCTAACTTGGGAAGTCCTTCGCATTCTCCGTAGCAGCATCTATAGCAGGGCCGATTGGTAGCTCCACATCTCTAAACTCCTCGGGACGAGGCTGCAGGGGTTCACTTCCGGACCCTCACATGTCTGTTCACTAAGAGCCTTCGGGCTCTAGGATTTAAGGTTAGGGGTTAGGGGTTTACGGGTTAGGGTTTCGGGGTTGAGGGTTTAGGGGTTTCAGAATCTAGGAGAGCATTTCTCGGGAAAAAATTACTGCGCTGCCCCGAAACCCGCAAGCAGCAGGCCCGATACCCTCTGTAATCAGGTTCTATAACGGTTCTGCAAGGGTTAGTGCTACAAACCTGAACCCAAAGCCAATGATCCGTAAACGCAACTATTGGGGTTTAGGCTTATAGGGTATAGTTAGCATCAACAGAAACAGGAACCCCACAAATAGTATTGGCATATCGGCCCCTGCATTATGCAGCTCCCTGGGGGTGACTGTTGAGCCCAGATGATTAAACAAAATCAGTGGTCGCGGTTTAGGCTCTGGAGTTTCAGAGCTTAAGGCAAAGCGGACATGACCTACCGGTGCCGACTGTTTCGTAGCGCCCCGATACTACTGATATATACACCAAGTATGGTATATATATATATATGTACATACACATATATAGAAATATATATATATATATGTACATATATATATATATATATATGTATAGGGACAGTAGACAGAAGTAGGTATTGGGATCTCAAACACTACAATAAGCAAGCGGATCCGTGCCCCCAAACCCTGCAAACCCAAACCCTATCCCGAACCCTCAGACCGCAAGAAGTTTAAGCCTAAATCCTAAACCCTAAACCCGGCTTTAGGCAATCTCCATCAAGCCCTATTCTAATTATTAAAAGGCCCCTATATTCGGCTTTAGGGACTCCCCATCAAGCAAGAGCCGCAGCGCCTCACGGATGACATCGCCACGGACCAGGCATTCGACAGACTGCTCCTCCAAGGAATCAACGCGTCAACACTTGGAAAACTGCAGCACGAAGAACACACCAAAAGTGTCTAGGGTTTAGGCTGATAGGGTTTGGGATTTAGGGTAGGATTTAGGCTAGACTCGACGAAGAGGATAACGGCGCTACTTCTTGAAGGATCCTCCATAAAGCTCAAGACAGAGCTACCCGGATTCTCATCGCAAATATGAAAGGTCCGTGCTCTGGGGTCCAGGGCCTTGGACTTGGGGTATTCCCACAAGACACCACACGCTGCAAATCACGTCGGACAACCAAACCTACAGTCAAAGAATAACTTCACAAACTAAACCTTTAAAACCTAAACAACGTAGAAAAGACAGATATGGGGGTTTCCGAAAATAGGGGACCTAATATACAGTAGTACCCTAAATAGTAGGATGATTATTGTAAGGACCCCAAATTACGGCTCCCCTTACTTTCGGAAACTCCCTCTTGGAAACCCTAAACACCCTAAACCTAAACCCCTAACCCGAAACCCCTGAACCCTAGACCCTAAACCACTAAACCCCAAACCCCTAAACCTTAAACCCCAAACCCTAAACCCTAAACCCCTAAACCCCTAAACCCCTGAACTGAACCCCTAAACCGATAGAACGAGCCCCACGCAGCACGAAAAAACAGGCACCGCGTAGGCGAAGGCAGCGCTCCTTCGCCAGCGATGCCGCCGCCTGGCCAATCTCCAGGTCCGACCTCTTCGGGGCCAAGGAGGGCTTTGGGGTCTGCCATACTTTTGTTGTTGTTGTTGCTGTTGCTGTTGCTGTTGTTGTTGTTGTTGTTGTTGTTGTTGTTGTTGTTGTTGTTGTTCTCTCTCTCTCTCTATATATATATATATTGTAAAAATTATATATATATATATATATAGATATGTGTGTGTGTGTATGCACACAGGTGTGTGTATGTGTGTGGAGAATAGAGGAATAAGCCAGAAGACGGATGGACATACAAATAAACATACATACAAAGATACATACATACATACATACATACATACATACATACATACATACATACGTGCCTATGTACATACATACATACATACATACATACATACATACATAAATACATACATACATACATACATACATACAT